GTGGTATATTTACACAACATAATATTACTGAGCCCTAAAAAAGAAGGAAATCTTGTCATTAGTGAAAATAAGGGTAACCCTGAAGGATATTATATTAAATGAAATAAACCAGGCACAGGACAAACACTGCATGATCTCATTTATATGTGGAGTATAAAAAAGTCAAACTTACAGAAATAGACAGTACAATGGTGGCTACCTGAGACTGTGGAGTGGTGAGATGAGGGAGATATTGGTCAAAGGACACACAATTTCAGTTAGAAGGAATAAATTAAAGAGATGTATTGCACATCATGGTGACAATTAATAACAATGTTCTGTATACTTGAAAATTGCTAAGAGAATAGGGTTTAAAAATTTATTTTTATTTTTTTGGAGATAGGGTCTCGCTATGTTGGCCAGGCTAGAGTGCATGGCTATTCATAGGCGTGATCTCACTACTGATCAGCATGGGAGTTTTTGACTTGCTCCATTTCCAACGTTCACCCCTCCTTAGGCAACCTGGTGGTCCCCTGCTCCTTACTGATGCTAGACGGAGTTTCGCTCTTGTTACCCAGGCTGGAGTGCAATGGCATGATCTCGGCTCACTGCAACCTCCACCTCCTGGGTTCAAGTGATTCTCCTGCCTTAGCCTCTGGAGGAGCTGGGATTACAGGCACGAGCCACCACCCCCAGCTAATTTTGTATTTTTAGTAGCAATGGAGTTTCTCCACATTGCTAAGGCTATTCTCAAACTCCCAACCTCAGGTGATCTGTCAGCCTCGGCCTCCCAAAGTGCTGGGATTACAGGGGTGAGCCACCGAGCCCAACCTAAGAGAATAGATTTTAAGTGTCCTTACCACAAGAAACTAAGTATGTAAGGGAATTTCACAACGTATGCGAATTTCAAAATATCCTGTTGTACACCATAAATATACACCATCCCCCTTGGTACTGTCATGACAGTGAGTGAATTTAATTTTTACTTGTCAATTAAAAGAATTTAAAAAAAAAAAAAGAAAAGAAAACAAGAGCTGGCCGGGATGTGGAGAAGGTGGAATTCTTGTGCACCACTGGTGATGATGTGACGTGATGAAGCTTCTGTGGAAACAGTGAGATAGCTCCTGAAAAGGCTGAACATAAGGCTGGGCGCAGTGACTCATGCCTGCAATCCCAGCACTTTGAGAGGCTGAGGCAGGCGGATGTCCTGAGGTTAGGAGTTTTGAGACCAGCCTGGCCAACATATGATGAAACCCCATCTCTACTAAAAATGCAAAAATTAGCTGGGTGTAGTGGTATATGCTTGTCATCCCAGCTACTTGGGAAGCTGAGGTGGGAGAATCGCTTGAACCCAGGAAGCAGAGTTTGCAGTGAGCTGAGATCTCTCCACTGCACTCCAGCCTGGGCGTCAGAGTGAGACTCCATCTCTCAAAACACACACACACACACACACACACACACACACGCACACTCACAAAAGGTAAAAAGTTTGAACATAGAATTACCGTATGATCCAGCAATTCCACTTCTGGGTATGTACCCAAAAGAACTAAAGTAAGCGTTCTAACAGATACTTGCATGCCCATGCTCATAACAGCATTATTTACAACAGGCCAAAGGTGGAGATAACCCAAGTGTCCATCAATGGATGAATGGATAAACAAAATGTGGTCTATCCACACAATGGAATATAATTCAGCTCTGAAAAGGAATGACGTTCTGATACAGGCTACAACATAGTTGGATTGTGAGAACAATCAGTGAAATAAGCCAGGAACAAAAGGACAAACACCGTGTGATCCCACTTATACGAGATACCCAGCGTAGTCAAATTCACAGAGGAAAAAGTAGAATGGGAATCGCCAGGGATGGGCAGGGCGAATGGAGAGCTGGCACTGAATGGGTACAGAGTTTCTGTCTGGGAAGATGAGAAAGTCTAGAGATGGATGGTAGCGATGGTTGCATAATACTGTGAATGCACCTAATAACACTGAATCAAATTGTACATTTAAAGATGGTTAAAATGATAAACTGTGTTACATGTATTTTACCACAACTAAAAAAAATAGATGTTTAAGGTTGCCCAAGAAAAAACAAAAACAAAACACCACCACCCATGTGTGCCCATGCATCTTCCGGACAGATGCAGTTCCTAGATTCTCTCTTCAATGGTAACATTCTGTTTCTGCCAACTCTGTTTCTGAACCAAATCTGACACAGCTGCCACTGGCCTACTCCCTGGAATTACCACAGAATCTGAATTAGCCTTGGCAGGCCCTCTGAGGAATCTCGCGGCCATGCTTCCATTACAGTCAGCACGGCAACGCAGTGGCCTATGCCGTTTGCTGTTGTTGCTGGTTTTTGAGATGGGGTCTTGCTCTGTTGCCCAGGCTGAACTGCAGTGGCATGATCTTGGCTCACTGCAACCTCCACCTCCTGAGTTTAAGTGATTCTCCTGCCTCAGCCTCCCGAGTAGCTGGGATTACAGGCGCACACCACCATAGCTGGCTAATTTTGTATTTTTTTGGTAGAGATGGGGTTTCAGCATGTTGGCTAGGCTGGTCTTGAACTCCTGACCTCAGATGATTCACCCACCTCAGCCTCCCAAAGTGCTGGGATTACAGGCGTGAGCCACCACGTCCAGCCTGCCTATCCCTTTGAATACCACCTGAGTAAGTGATAGGCTTTGGATCTGTGTCCCTGCCCAAATCTCACGTCGAATTGTAATCCCGAGTGTTGGAGGTGGGGCCTGGAGGGAAGTGATTGGATCATATGGCTCATGGGGGTGGTTTCTCATGAAGAGTTCAATACCATCCCCTTGGTACTGTCGTTGTGACAGTGAGTTCTCAGGAGATCTGGTTGTTTGAAAGTGTGCAGCATCTCCCCTTTTCTCTCTAGCTCCTGCTATGTAAGATGTGCCTGCTCAGCCTTCACCTTCGGACGCGATCGTAAGTTTCCTGAGGCCCCCTCACCCCACCCCAAGAAGCCAAGCAGATGCCAGCATCATGCTTCCCGGACCACCTGAACCCGAACCATGGTCCAATTAAACCTCTCTACAGATTACTCAGTCTCAGGTATTACTTTACAGCAATGTGAGAAGGAACTAATACAGTAACTCATTTGTCTTTGACTTTCCGCCTTCTTTTAGTGACAGTGTGTGTGCTGAAATGACTCTTGAAGAAGCCTTCATTTGTGAGGACACCTGGTGCCCACAGGGGCTCCAGGGGCAGTGTTTGTGGCAGGTGAAGATGCTATTACAGAATTTATCCTCCTTGCCAGAAAAGAACTCCCGGGCAAAGCAGAGCTGTCTTATAGCCCACACTGGGGCCCCCTGTTTCAGGCCTCCGGCCATGGGCTTGACAGTCGGGTTCTAACCTCGCTCTTCCTAGCGCCTCCCATGTTTACTCTCCAAGTTCTGTTGATTTTCTTGGTGTTTGCCTCCAATCCCACCTTTGCTGTCTGCTCTGCTCCGTACCCAATTTCTGCCCCTCCTTGCCTTTCCTGATGACTCAGAGCTTCAACTGACTCCCGCTTCTGACAACTCCGTCTTGCTGACAGGTTGGTTCATCTCAAACACCTGTCACCTCACGGCTCCTGCTTCTGCACCTGTGAGCCTGGTGCCCTCCTCCCAAAGCTCTCTTGGCAGCACGACCCCCAGCTCCTCCAGCTGCCCAGCTGTTCAACACGAGCCATGACGAGCTCACACTGGCCTTTCCTCCTCCACCATCAGCTTAGAACCAGCCACAGCTCACAACTCCAAGAAGTCTCTGAGCCATACGGAGGAGAGCGTCGCCTTCACGTGTCTCTCCCAGGACCCTGCAAGTGCAGAGCTGGTGCTCAGGAATGCCTCTCACCGCAGCCATCATCCTCTAAGCAGCTGTTCTTCTGTCTGCACAGCTGAAGCACCCCTTTCCATGCTACCGGGACTCGTTCTGTCTTACCATTATTTTCTGGGTGCCAACCTCGCTCCCTCCTCTAGCCTAGAGACCAAGGATGCTCCAGTAACATAGGTCTGGTGAGACCAACTTACATCACACTGTGTTCCTTCCTTGCGTCACACACCCTCATGTCACTTTCCGCGCATATTTTCTGCCTCCTTGGAGAGGCTGTACTTACAGAGCTCCAGGGTGAAGAATAACTGTCCTTACAGAGTCGAGTATGGGTGCTATCCCCCCGCACACCAGCATGAGGGGAGGGCTCAGGGAGGCTTTGCCCATAGAAGGCTTCAGGAGTCGCCCGTTGCTGTGGATTCTGTGTTTGTTGAATCCCAGATGCCCAAGTGAGACCCCTGATTTGTGCTCCCCAAGGCCACTGACACACTGAGCTTCCTGGCATCAGCTTGCTGATACCAGAGTTGGGGTTCCTTTCAACTCTGTTACAGTTGAGCCACGCTAACAAACATGGCTCGTTAGCGCCACGTTCACAGACTCGTTCAGAGGCACACGCTTTGCCTAGCCTCCTGCTCCCCTCTGAGTGGCATCTGGAGAAGAGGTGACTTCATCTTGCTTCAGTCCTCCCAATGTGGAGAGACCTGCACCCATCAGCAAAATGAATACGATGGGAGGTGTCTGGAGCCTTTCTTCACTTTCCCCAAAGGAATATCTGACAAACCCAGGCCTGGTTCAGAGCTCCCCCTTAACAATAATCCTGTCAAAATATCTGATGCTGTGGAACCTCAAAGGCACTGTATCACACAGCAGAGAGTGACTGACCTCATGGCTAAACTCTCTTTCCTGCTTATTGGCATGACAACGGAGCTAAATAGAGCCGAGATGAATTATGAGTCTATTTTTGGAGACTCCTTATGGAATTCATGCACACTGTGGATTCTGCATCCTTTGAACCCTTGGGCACGCTTAGAACTCTGAAGCAAACACTCATTTGTAAATGTTACAGCCGCCAAGGTTGGCTGGATGCTTTGCTGGGTGACGTGTTAACTCTCTCAAGGCTGCTTTGGAAGGAGGAGGAATGTTTTGAGCTGAGCTTCGGGTGGAGGGTGGGGCTGACGCATGCACACTTACCTTGACCCTGTCCATACAGGCTTCCATCTTTAGCTGCTCCACAGCTTTCCTGGCTTGGGAGATGCTAGTGGTGCTGTTATTGGACATGCCCTCTTTCATTCTACTGCCCCTAAAAGTAACCAAAGTTAAAGGGTTAGAAGAGCTGCTTTTCCAAGGGTCATTGTGTCCAAACGAGGGAGCATCTGGGAGCATGGGCAGCATTTGGCAGAAAACCCTCCTGGGATAAAACGAATGCCTCACTGGAGTAAGAGAACGTGATGCTTTTGTTTGGAAAAATCTTTCTCAGTCCTGGGAAGAGTGAGGAGAGAACAGATGGTTCCAGAGTGACTCCTCCATCACCCCCATTGCTGCCACCACCATCAGCACCATGACCATCAGTCATGCTTGGACATTTGTATGGTGCTCTGTGAGTCATCAATCACTTTCACACGTTTGTTCATTCATTCCTCTAGCAGCCCATAGAGTTGGTGAGACAATATTAACTTCTGTTTGGCAAATGAAGAAAGTGCAAAAATCAGAGAAATTAAGCCAATAGTTAAAGGTCCCATAGCCAACATCTGTGGATCCAGAACCCAAACTCAAAGCTTTGAAGCCAGCTGAGTGTCTCAAATGGCCTCTCCTAGCAATCTATGGCTCAAAGCACACGTTTCTAATGAAGAAATTGCTTTATTATTCATTTTAATTTGCTGTACTTCCAAAAAGTTTACAGACTTTGTGTTGGGAGTTTGTTTTAAACAATAAACACACAGACACACAGACACACAGGCTGTCTGTCTGTCACCTCTGTCCCAAGCACAGATTTGTTTTCTAGAGGGAGGTGGAAGAAATTCTCCCTAACCCAACACACATCAATGCCCCATGACTAAGACCACCGTAATGCTACCTGTTTCACAGAAACCATGTGCTACCACGTCACTGTTACCCCCTCTAATGAGAATCTGCTTCAAAGGAAGCCAACCACTGGAGCCTGCGAGCCGGGGACAGGCCACTGTGAGCAGAAACACAAGTGACACTAGCTCCCAATGGCACAGATGAGGTAGGAGGTGGCCCTGGCTAGCATCTTTTGTTTGTTTGCTTCTGTTTATATTTTATTTCGGTTTTAGGTTTGTTCCCCCACCTCACAATTGTTGGACTTTATTGTATTAATTTGAGTATGTAAAGCATCAACCATACTTTCAAAGTTAAAATGATACAAATTGATATTCTCACAGGTGGGGCGTGTGGCGGAGGGCACAGCTCACGTTACGGTGAAAGCAGCAGAGCCGACCCTCGGCCCCATCAGGCCCCTGCAGCTGCCCCGCCTCACTCCTTCCATAGTAGTGTGTACGTGGCCCTGATCCCCCGGCCCTTCCTCATTCTTCCTCTGTTCACCAGGAAGGGCCATTTCCCGCCCGTCCTGCCCTCCCTGCAGAGGAGAGTTCTGGCTGGAGGCTGCCCGTGGGCAGGTCCCGCCGGCGCACTATGCTTTCTTTGTTGTGTCCAGGAGACAAAATAAGCAGGTGGGAGCCCTTCTGGGGGGTCCATCCCTCCATGTCTCCCTCTCAGGCCCTGTGTGCGTGCCCACCCTCCAGCCCATGCCTGCCACGTGCAGCCCAGGCCCCTGGACCTGGCCTGCAGCTGGGGCTGAGCTCTCGGCCTCCAGCCTCTCCCTCGGCCCCTCCTCTGCGGCTTCCTTCTCTCCTGGCTCCATACTCAGCCTCCGTGGCATGACCCAACGCTGCCGCCTCTGTCTCCCAAGAGCCGTTTGCCTGTCTGGCCCTTTTCTCTGGCGCTAAACCCTTCCTCAGTATGGACCCAACTCCTCCCTCTCCACACTCACTGAGGGGCTGCTCAGCGCTGCTGGAGAGAACCCCCGCTCCCAGATTCCGTCCATCAAACGTCCACACTCCAGCCTTAGCGGGTCCCTCAGAGCTACCCAGCAATAGGACCCAGCAGTAGATGATTTGGGGCAACCAGACCATCTCCCCCTCCCTTCATCTTCCAGTCTTCTTCTCTTCCTCATGGCCTCTGACCTTTCCTCCTCAGCAGAGGACCTCAGCCCCTCTGTCCATACAGCAAGGCCATTGGGACAGAATCCTTAATGGCCACAGTGGCTCATCATGCCTCCAATGGGTATGGTGGCTCACACGCATAATCCCAGCCCTTTGGGAAGCCAAGAAAGGTGGATCAGGAGGTCAGGAGATGGAGACCATCCTGGCCAACATGGTGAAACCCCTTTTCTACTAAAAATACAAAAAATTATCCAGGCCTGGTGCTACATGCCTGTAGTCCTAGTCCTCGGGAGGCTGAGGCAGGAAAATCGCTTGAACTTGGGAGGCAGAGGTTGCAGTGAGCCAAGACTGTGCCACTGTACTCCAGCCTGGCAACAGAGCAAGACTCTGTCTAAAAACAAAAAACCAAAAAAAAAAAAAAAAAAAAAAAAGAACCACTTTAAACAAAGCATCTCTTCCTTAACTAATTACAAATCAGAAGATCTTTAAACCTATCCATAACCTATAAGCCCTAGCTTCAAGAAATCCTACCCTTTTAGGCCAAAACCAGTGTGTGACCGCCATGTGTTGATTTTACAATCCTACCTGTAACTTCTGCTGTCCTGAAAATTGCCTCTGACTTAAAAAACCCTTACCTGCAAGCCACTGGTCAGGATTTGAGCATGAGCCGCCTGGTCCTCCTTGCTTGGTGCCTTGCAATTAAAAACCCTCCTTTTTCCAGGCGCGGTGGCTCACACCTGTAATCCCAGCAGTTTTGGGAGGCTGAGGTGGGTGGCTAACGAGATCAGGGGTTCAATACCAGCCTTGCCAACATGGTGAAACCCCTTATCCACTAAAAACCCTCCTTACTCTCACTGCAAAAACTCGGTGTGGATATCTGGTCTTACCATGCTGGGCAAGCAGATCTCAGTTTACTCTGTAACATTCTTTTTTTTTTTTTTTTTTGAGATGGAGTCTAGCTCTGTTACCGAGGCTGGAGAGCAGTGGTGTGATCTGTGCTCACTGCAACCTCCACCTCCCGAGTTCAAGTGATTCTCCTCGTCAGCCTCCTGAGTAGCTGGGATTACAGCCATGCACTACCACCCCCGGCTGATGTTTTGGATATTTAGTAGATACTTGGTTTCGCCATGTTAGGCAGGATGGTCTCAAACTCCTGACCTCAGGTGATCCGCCTGCCTTGGCCTCCCAAAGTGCTGGGATGACAGACGTGAGCCCCTGCGCCCGGCTGTGCTCTGTAACATTCCGATGGGCTGCATCTTGCGGCACACAACTCAGTAAATGCAAAGCTGGGGCTGGGAGACCAAAGCAAGGTGCTTGCATCCCCAGTGCTTCTCATCAGACTTGACTTGGGGCACAGTATTTAGAATTTCTGGAAGATGATGGCATTGTGCCTTTGAGGCCATCCTCCCTAACTATGACTTCTGTCCATGAGCAGTTGATAAGTAGCTGTCAGTGGAGTACAGAAGCCGGCCTTCCCGGACAATGCCTGAAAGATGGCTATTGCCAGTGATGACAGACCCCTGAACCTGAGGGGACCCAACAGCTTAAACTGAGGGTGGGGAGGGAGCAGGTGGCTGACCTCCTCTCATCCTTGCTGGACAAGGACGCTCACCGCAATAGCAGCTCTTTTCTTACAGCACGGTTCCCCAGCCAAGGCCCAGCAGCTCTCGGCAACGGCTCAGTTCTCCTCCTCTGCTCCCCCAAGAAGGGCACATCCACTCACTCAGGGGATAACGGGAGGTGGCCAAAGGTTTCTAAGGGCCCTGTGTCTTCCATGGAGGGTGGGAGAAGGAGACAGGACAGCGATAGTTGCTAGAAGAAAATGATTCTTTGAGGACCTGCCCACCATCCAGGATCTTGAGAGCTGAGTGTCACCCAGGCCCCCACACGTACTCCTGGCGAAGACACTTTTCTCCCTCTGCCCCTGCACGGGGTAAGTCACCCCCTCTTACCTGCTGAGAGGCAGCCCCGTGACAGGCCTGGACAGGGGACAGAGGCTGGCGGCGGCAGCAGCGGTCAGTTGTCAAATGAGAGGCAGATTCAGAGCTGCTGCTTTGAGGTCACCTGAAAGCACAACCAGAGATGTGTCTAGAGGTGTGGGGACCCCCTGGCACTGCTCTAGCATCCCCACCCACCCCATCCCATGGTTGGCCTGTCCTCAAGCTCAGTAGCCTTCCCTGCTAGCCTGGGGACTCCGTATCAGACCTTGGGGAGATGGGGAGCTCAAGGCAGACAGAGAACCCTCAGATCTGGCACAGTGCAGACTGGGAACACAACTTCAAGGCCACAGGCCACCCCGGGCCTCACCAGACTGCTCCCCTGGTCCCCGCAAACCTGCATGCTCGGCTGCTCTGCCCCCAACACAAGCAGCCCCAGCTACTGCCAAACGCGTGCCAAATGGAAACAGGTCATATGTGTTTTCTTCTTCTAAAAATATACACCTTTCATAGAAAAACGTGCAGATAGAGAAAATTATAACAAAGAAAATAAAGATCAATAATAATGCCTTTTCCCAGAGATAACTATGGTTAGCCTGTTGATGCATAATATACTTACAGACATTCCACATTTGATTTCAGCCAAAGGACATTTAACACGGAAGAGAGCTGACAACTCGAAAGCTCTCTCTTTTTATTTTGTATTTATTTTCTGAGATAAGGTCTCACTGTTTTTGCCCAGGCTGGAGTGCAGTCGCACAACCATGGCTCCCTGTAGCCTTGAACTTCTGGGCTCAAATGATTCTCCCACCTGAGCCTCCTGAGTAACTGGGACTACAGGCATGCACTACTGTGCCTAATTTTTACATTTTTATTTTTTTGAGACAGAGTCTCACTCTGTTGTCAGCCTAGAGTGCAATGGCGTGATCTTGGCTCACTGCAACCTCCGCCTCCCCGGTTCAAGACATTATCAATTTCTCCTGCCTCAGCCTCCTGGGTAGCTGGGACTACAGGTACCTGCCACCACACCCAGCTAATTTTCGTATTTTTAGTAGAGACGGGATTTCACCATATTGGCCAAGATGGTCTCGATATCCTGACCTCATGATCTGCCCACCTCAGCCTCCCAAAGTGCTGAGATTACAGGCATGAGCCACCACACCCAGCCTTTCCAGGTGATTTCAATGTGCAGCCGTGTTTGAGTCTAGCCAGAGGGTCCCACACTCTGGTGTGTGTCAGTCACCTAGGATCTCAGGCTCTCACGCAACAGGACTGGTGGGGGCCTCTGGGAGGCTGGATGCTGCTACTCATAGCCTGGAGGGAAACACCGGCATCAGCATCCCCAGGAACTCAGTAGCAATGCAGAATCTCAGGTCCTACCCAAACCTACCGAGTCAAATCTGCAGGCTTTGTTGTTTTGAGACGGTCTCGCTCTGTTGCCCAGACTGGAGTGCAGACACGTGATCTCAGCTCACTGCAACCGGCACCTCCTGGGTTCAAGCGATTCTCCTGCCTCAGCTTTCTAAGTAGCTGGTATTACAGGCATGTGCCACCACACCCGGCTAATTTTGTATTTTTAGTAGAGACGGGGTTTTATCACGTTGACCACGCTGATAACAAACTCCTGACCTCAAGTGATTAACGCCTGCCTCAGTCTCCCAAAGTGCTGGGATTACAGGTGTGAGCCATTCATTTCGCCCAGCCAAACCTGTGTTTTAACCCAGGTGATTCAGGTTAGAGTTTGAGACACTCTGAGCTAGACCAGCAGGGCCTTATGGTACTGCCTTATGCAGGGTCCAAGAGGAAGAGCCTGGCTGAAGATACACGAGTCCATCCTAACAGCGGTGGACAGCAGAGCTGCTGTTCTCTTGACCCTGAATGTCATTCATAGCCCCATCAGCTTGTTGGAGTCCTCTTTTAGATGACTTACTAACTCTAGAACAGGCGTCCCCAAACTTTTTACACAGGGGGCCAGTTCACTGTCCCTCAGACCGTTGGAGGGCCGCCACATACTGTGCTCCTCTCACTGACCACCAATGAAAGAGGTGCCCCTTCCTGAAGTGTGGCGGGGGGCCGGATAAATGGCCTCAGGGGGCCACATGCGTCCCGAGGGCCGTAGTTTGGGGACGCCTGCTCTAGAAGCTCTTTGAGAGGCCACACCTCAGAAAAGACACTATCAATTTCTCCTTGCACTCTTGGCATTTGCATAGCATCTTCCATCCAATGGTTGAAACGTATTTTAGATGTCAACCCACCAGCCTACCCCAGCAAGTGCTTTCAGACACCTTCCCTGGTATCATTACTATTTCTCAAAAGAACACGGGTTATTGGAGCTGATGGGAATTTAGCTATTGGATTCCTTTATCTGGTTGCTGAAGAAAGCTGTTTTTTTTTTTTTTTTTTTTTTTTGAGACGAACAGAGTCTGACTCTGTCGCCCAGGCTGGAGTGCAGCAGTGGCACAGTCTTGGCACACCGAAACCTCCCTCTCCCAGGTTCAAGAGATTGTCCTGCCTCAGCCACTCAAGTAGCTGGGATTATAGGCATGTGCCACCATGCCCAGCTAATTGTTGTATTGTTAGTATCTATGGGGTTTCAACATGTTGGCCAGGCTGGTCTCAAATCCCTGATCTCAAGTGATTTGCCTGCCTTGGCCTTCCAAAGTGTTGAATAATCCCAGGCATGAGCCATGGCACCTGGCTTTTTTTTTTTTTTTTTTTTTTTAAGAGAGAGAGAGAGGGGGTCTTGCTCTGTCACCCAGGCCGAGAGTGCAGTGGTACAATCAAGCTCACTGCAGCCTTAATCTCTCAGGCTCAAGTGATCCTCCAACCTGAGCGTCTGAAGTAGTTAGCAACATACTCAGCCAATTTTTAAATTTTTTGTACAGACAGGAACTCACTGTATTGCTCAGGCTGGTTTTGAACTCCTGACTCAAAGAATCCTCCCATCTTCACATCCCAAAGCACTAGGATTACAGGTATGAGCCACCACTCTGGACTGAAGGCTGCTTTTTAATAGCAGTAAATTTTACCAGGATGTTTTCAAAAGCTTTTCTTCCCTCTCAAAAGAAAATATATTCATCTTTGAACAAATTGCTGTGTTTCATTGTGAGGGAGTGAGAAGACTCACTGGCTGGACAGGAGCTGACTGGGAGCCCCTCAAGGGCAAAGGCCTTGTTTTCTTAGCTTCTGTGTCCCCACTGCCAAGACAGGGTGGGCATGCAGTAGCTAGTCCGTGTAAAGGTGGCTCTCGTATGCAAGAAAGAATAAACTCAGGCTTCAGCAGTGACTTTAATTCCCCATGGCTGCTGTTGTTTCAATTCTCTTTTGTTTTTGTTTTTGTTTTTGAGAGTGAGTCTTGGTCTGTCACCCAGGCTGGAGTACAGTGGCACCATCTCGGCTCGCTGCAACCTCCGCCTCCCAGGTTCAAGCAATTCTCCTGCCTCAGCCTCCCGAGTAGCTGGGATTACAGGCACCTGCCATCATGCCCGGCTAACTTTTGCATTTTTTAGTAGAGATGGGGTTTCACTTTGTTGGCCAGGCTGGTCTTGAACCCCTGACCTCAAGTGATCTGCGCGCCTTGGCTTCCCAAAGTGCTGGGATTACAGGCTTGAGCCACCATGCCTGGCTGTTTCAATTCTTAAATGAAGCTAAATTGGCTCCCTGGGTTATCCCTGAAGGATAATGACCCAGAGTCACACAGATGTACTGATGGCCCCAACAACTTGTCTTATTTTGAGAAATAGTGATGATACAGGGAAGGTGTCTAAAACCCCTTCTTAGGGTATGGGGTAGGTTGGTGGGTTTCATCCATTCCAAACAATGGATGAGAGATGGGGCCATTAGAATTAATTCAGTCATCTAAAGGAGAAGCCTCTAAATGGTGCTAGGCTTTGAGGCACAGGCAGGGTCTCTGCCTTCACGGAGCTTACTGCCTGTTGAGGGGTGCCATGGACTGCTGGAATCACCATGCTGATTAATGAATGCATTCTTAGAAGGGAGGCGCCTGCCTCTGAGTGTATAACCAAAGAAAGTGACCTGGACTGTAGCATCTATGTTGCTTTCTATGATAGGTTCTGAAACTATAGAAAGGAATGAGACTTGCTCACCCTTAAAGAGCTCCGGTGCTCAGAGGGAGATATATAAAGAAGCAATGATCGTAAATATTGTCACTGGTGTATGTGAGCTGACTGTCCACAGAATCCATGCCCCCCTTCTCCTCACAGGGATGTCATTGTGGCAGGGCACCTAGCCCTGGGTTAGATTTTCCCCAGGGTCACTTGCAGCTACGTGTGACTTTGTGACTCCTGTCTTGCTAACAGAGATGGTAATGATGAATGAGTGGAAATATGGATGCCACTTCCAGGCCTGGGCTTTCAAATCCCATCTGGGGACCTCTGAGCTCTTTCCCATCACACATGACCATGTCTGCAGCTTAACTTTAACAAGGGCAGATGAGGACAGTGGCCTGAGTGGTGCCTCCAGGTGTGGTCCCTGGACCGGAAGCATCGATGTCAACCTGGGAGCGTGTCAGAAATGGAAATGCTTGGGCCCACTCAGACCTACCGAATAGAAGCTCTGGGGCTGGACGTGATGGCTCACGCCTATAATCTCAGCACTTTGGGAGGCCAAGGCGGGTGGATAACCTGAAGTTTGAGAAGTTCAAGACCAGCCTGGCCAACAATGGTGAAACCTTGTTTCTACTAAAAATACAAAAATTAGCCTGGCATGTTTACAGTTGCCTGTAATCCCAGCTAGTTATGAGGCTGAGGCAGGAGAATTGCTTGAACCCAGGAAGTGGAGGTTGCAATGAGCCGAGATCACACCACTGCACTCCAGCCTGGGCAGCAGAGTGAAACTCTGTCTCAAAAAAGAAAAAAAGAAGCTCTGCCGGGTGCAGTGGCTCACGCCTGTAATCCCAGCACTTTGGGAGGCCGAGCGGGCGGATCGCAAGGTCAGGAGTTCAAGACCAGTCTGGCCAAGATGGTGAAATGCTGTCTCTACTAAAAATACAAAAATTGGTCAGGCGTGGTAGCAGGCGCCTGTAATCCCAGATACTCAGGAGGCTGAGGCAGAGAATTGCTTGAACCCAGCAGGTGGAGGTTGCAGTGAGCCGAGATCACACCATTA